ATTTTTAAATTTTTATCCATTTTAGCTTCATTTGTTTTAGTACATCAACTGAGAGATTAAATAAAATAGGTTTTTTATGTTTTATTGTTTCAGTTAAAGTTTATTTTATTTCAAGTAAGGCATTTAGGCATACTCGGCTCTGTGTGCACATGCAGTAACTTACAGATGAACTCTTCACATGAACAAATCGTTGACAATATCTTCCGAAATTTCTTCAAAACTCTCAGTATTCACAACAGCCCAAACCTGCAGCATCTGTGCATTTCTCACATTGATGCAAATTCAATGCGGAGATTCATTAGCCATGAAACACATGACATGGCCTGCCTCAAAGCGTTTGAGCAGTTCTGCATGAATATCTCATGAGCAGTCAGTGTGAATAGTGGCTTGGCTTGGGAGACTGAATTTATAGCCCGTTGGATCCATCCACGTTCAAAATAGAAGCCACACTATGTGCTCTAACCGCTCTCCTCTCTCTGGCGGAAATCTCTTTTCCACAGCTATAAAAGCTCATATGATGGATGAATAGAGTTGATGTTTAATATAATAACTCTCATGCTCATAAATGCTCAAGGATGTTAGCTCTAGCCAACTTGAGCATCCCAATAGACTTTAGCATGCAAACATCTGTGGTTTTCACAACACAATCTCATGGCAAGCTGTAAGTATTTTGCTATCTAGCGAAATGGTAGCTAATTCGCACAATCCCCAGTGACAGTTTGGGCTGGACCTTCATGCTTTTTTAAAATAAAAATGAAATGTTGTGATGGCTAATTGCAACAATATTTTTTATAGTGTACAAGAGCCAACCGTAGTTTCAAGCTAGAGTAGTACAGAAGCTAGAGCAAAAAAGTAGCATTGCATTTGTCTTCAGCTGTTTCTTACAGTTTATAGAAGTGTAATCTGATGTGTTTAACTTGATTTAATTATATTGGATAATAATGATTGGAATATTATCAGTTTGTTTAGATGTTAGCACATGATTCACATTTTAGGTTACCTGGCAAAGCATTTTTGTGCAAGAGAAGCTTGAAGAAAGTTGGATGCCTGGCTCCCAGACTTTGTTCCAGCAGGTCTGACTTTGTCAGGGTGAATAAACATCTTGCGAATTAACAGGATTTTCCCCGTACGGTATTTGAAGCGTGCATCTGAGGTGAGGCTGCAGTTATTCTCCTGTGGCAAAAAATAATCGGCTGAAGTTTCAAATGAAATGATTTTGCTTTGCTGAACTTGATTGGCAGCCGCTGACACGGGCGGCTGTGCTCATCCAATCAAACGTCATGTTCCACCCACATGTCTTGAGACATCTGTCAATCCCGGCAGAAACAAGCTTTGTGTGCAGAGCGTGAAGGACGGCTAGTGTTGCCATGCTTCTGATGGATGGCATTATCTCCCAAACACAAGCCTGTTATATTTTTTCATCTTAAATATTTCTATAACAGTTTGCATGCAGAAAATAACTGACTGTGTGGAATAAACTCCCTAGACAAATAGAGTAAGATCTCTTGTATGGTAATTATTGTTAACTAAGACTCAAACCATAAAACAACATTTTTATTACTCAAAATAAATTAAACATTATTAAAATAAAATACAAACTTAAACTTACTTTATTTGGCTAGTTGCCAAAATAGTCAAGGTAGTTTATGTAGTTTAACTTGATGTATGAAAATTTAAAAAATCATTTAAATAAAACTAATAAATAAAATTAGTAAATACTGTACAGACATATTTTAAAAAATTAAATAAAAATGGTTTAAATAATTACTTAAACTTTCACTAAAATTAAAGTGAAAACAAAAATCTTAAACATATTTTAAGCTAGTTGCCAGAGCAACAATTGTCATTTGTATTTAGTTACTAAAATAATTAAAGCTAGTTAAACTAAAGCTATTAAAAATATACTATGTGGACAAAGTTATAAAAATAATACAAATAAAAAATAATAAAATAAAAAAAAAATAATAAAAACAACAAAAACAACAAATTTGCTAAAACTTTTAAATGTAAGTAAAAACAAAATAGTATAGACATCTTTTAAATTATATTAAAAATACAACTAAATTAAAACTAATAAAAATGACAAAATTTCATAAAAACTCATATTAAAGTGAAAACAAAATAAAAAAATTGGAAATGAACAAATATTCAACAAAACATATTACCAAGAACTGCAATACTAAATCAATGATACTAAAATACCATTGATTGTTTTCATTTTAAATTGTTTTCATTTTTCCTAGATGGCAATTAGTACGTTTATGGACAACAATACTCCGATTTTAATACGATTAAGACAATACTCTGATTAAGTACTCTGTACGCATCTAACCTCCGAACCACGCAGCACATTCGTTCTGAATGAATCTCTTCCCAAATCGTCCCTCCCTAACATTTTCGTCTCGTTTTTATTCGTTGACGAAAATGTCAATAAATATTCGTCATAGTTTTTGTCATTCAAAAAGAGTTTTAGTTCGTTCTCGTCTCGTTGTCATCAGTGAAAAAAATGTCGTTGACGAGAGTTATGACGAAAATTATTCGTCAACGAAATTAACACTGATGTGGAGTATTCCTATTTTAGTTGCATTATTTAAGTGTAGTAAAGACATATACACACCTTAATCACATTATTACCGTCGTGTAGGACTTTTCACCGCATTTTGCGACAGGATACACACACGGCAGTGCTCAACCGTTTGACGGCAAACAAAAGAATTGCTTCAACAACGCCGTCGTCTGTTTGCACGTACAGCATGACAAATAATTAACTGCACTTGAAGCTTTCAGTAAATTAAAAATGAAACACCCCAAACTGTATATGGCATCATAATGAAGACGAACTATACATGAAATTCCGGAGGGGACATCGGATGGCGTCACGTGGGACGTAATGACGCGTGCCATTAATCGATCTATGTACTGTAACATGTAAAACGGGAACATGAAAGGAATATTCTAAAAGCAACTCATGTAAACACCTTAATCGTAATATTGTCTTATTCAAAATAAGGTAAATAATTAGATTACTGATGTCCATGTAAATGTAGTCATTGAGATTAAATTAAGAGCAAATAGAGGCTTGGCAGAAAATGACCTAAGAAAGATGTCATTTAAGTCTCAAACTAATTGAGGAACCTTTGAAAGTAGTACTACAAAAAAGTAGTCTTCTGATCTGACACAACTGAAATGTTAGTGTTCTATTTCGTGTTGGGTTCGATTGAGGTTTAAGAGTGTGATTTGAGATCAGGTGTCGGGATGAACAGGACCGTTGGGGTTTGGGTTTTCCTTTTTATCTGCAGGCAGCTGTCAAAACGTTGAGTGGAAAATGTTAATCTTCCTGTGTGATTGCATTGACCCCAAAGCATCGATGGCACGCCGTCACTGTGTGATTGTCGTGGTGACAGCCGTCCGGCTGACTTACTGGTGTGAAATCTCTTTCACGGTAGAAAACACTACCTGTGCCGGTGGACACAGCTGCAGTTTGTGCTTCTGTAATGCCCACACATTTAACATATGAATGTCAGATAAATACAGTCTATGCAAATATGTGATAGTTACCCTGAGGGTAACAAACTACCACATATAGCAGTCCCGAGACAGATCAAATCAGTGTGGTAATGTTTCAACTCCATATCTGTGAGCAATGTGAACAAATCTCAAACCAATGAATCGACTGAATCTCTGACATCTCAATCATTTTACCAGAGATTTCAATAATCTGACCTGTCATGTTGTGACCCCAGGACTGTATTATTTAAAAAGCATAACCATTCGTCATTCGTCCATTTAGCTGACTAATGCTTATAATTTTGTCTTTTTTTAATGATATAGTTTTTGCTCTCCATTAAAATGTCCTCAGACAGTCTAATTGTTTTAACAGACACATCAAGCACCGGAGAGCATTTGAGTGGTTTGTCTTGAAAGTCTTTCCTGGAAGAGGGTTATTGAAGATGGATTTGATAAGACTAACAGCTTCAGTTAATCAATCGGCCTTAAAAGCTCAATTAATCAAGCTCAGTTGTACAAACACGAGCTTCTTACAGACACTTCAGAACATCTACAGCAAATAAAGATTTCAGTCAGTTTGCCTTGAGAGAGTTTGAAGGTTTGTGGTTGGTAAGATTTTTAGGTAACACTTTATTTTAAGGTGTCAGTTTTTACACGTTACATATACTTACTATTATAATAACAATAAATGATGCATAATTGCATGCAAGTAACCCTAATCCCAAACCTAACCATATAGTAGTCAAATAATATTACTCAGTGCTTAAATGTATAATTGCACTGTAACAAGGGCACCTTAAAATAAAGTTTTAAAGTATTTTCTCTTATTCTCACTGTGGATGCATTTACAGTGCCGTGAAAAGGTTTTTGCCCCCTTCCTGTTTTTTTTATTTTTTGCATATTTATCAAAAATACAATAAAAGCTGTAATATTGTAAAAAATTAATTCAATTCAAAGTAACTGTTTTCTATTTGAACATATTATTTATTCCTGTGATGCAATTCTGATTTTTCAGCATCATTACTCCAGTCTTCAGTGTCACGGGATCCTTCAGAAATCATTCTGATATGCTGATTTGATTATCAAGAAACATTTATTATTATTATCACTGTTGAAATCAGTTGTGCTGCTTTCTATTTTTTTTTGTATTCTTGATTAATATAAAGTTCAAAAGAAAACTATTTATGTGAAATATAATTATTTTATTATAATAAATGTCTTTACTGTCACTTTTGATCAATTTAATGCATCCTTGCTGATGCATTTGTTTTTTATGTATATAATGTAGAAGTAGTTTCTTGTTTCTGCATTTCAGGATTTATGTTTTTATGTTTTCAGGGAGGGAAATTTGATATTGATCTTTGTTTAGCACAATCAAGTGCTGAATTTGTCACGCTGATGCTGGCTGGTGCTCTCAGATAATTGCTTTGTAAAATAAACAGCCATTCAGTTGTGTTTTAGAATTAATGTATGTGCATGTGCTTGTTTTGCAGATTACGATGTTTGGTAAAACAGTTGGAGAGAGGAGAGGCGTCTCTCGTGGACCTGAAGAAAAACCTGGAATATGCTGCCACTGTTTTGGAATCGGTCTATATTGAGGAAACAAGGTAAAGTGTGTGGGCTTTACACTGTTATTTTACTTTCCCACTCCCTGTTGCTAAAATATAAAATATAACCACAGGCAATCAAACTGAAATTATAAATGGGACTCAAAAAAAATGTATTGATTGTAATACAGCTGCAAACATATTGGTTTTCTCATGCTGTTTGCCATCATTTGCAAAGTAACTGCTTGGACTACATTGTACATTTATGATGACTAATCATCTCCAGGCAGTTTTATTCTCTTCACAAATGTTTGACTCCACTGCATCGCTCACAAAGCTGTAACAACGCATTATTCAGTCTTTCCGTGTCAGATGCTGATCCAGCTTTTCCACACAATCCCTAAATGGAGTCGTTGTAAAGGGAAAATTGCAAAATTGGTCCAGGATCAGTCTAATGGAGCCTTAAGCTATTCACTCACGCAGATAGAGGTCGATTCAATTAGCAGTTAAAGATCTGTGTGCTTCAACCCCAAGATTGTTAGATTGAGTGAGTGGCCAGTTGAAGGGTCACAGGGGTCTACGCTGCTGCTGTGTCCTTCAGCAAGATTTTCTGTTAAGGATGTAAATATTTTTAACCCTACCAAAATGTTAATATCATGATTTTTTAATTTTTTAATTTTTGTTTAAATAACAGTACCTTTGAAGTGCCATGCAAATGCAATGGTATATGAATATGATAATCATACAGTCTGTGCCATTAACCATTTACTACCATAGTTCTTTACCATTGTGAGGGTGTTCAGGCTATTCTCTGGTTTAATGTGACCGAAATGTGGCCTATTTTGTCTTATTTAAACGCAATAAATAATTTATTCTTTTTAACTTGTGCTAAATAGAATATTTCATAAAATTCATGAACGTATTTGTCATTTAATGAATATTATGTAATATTTTCTACACACACACACACACACACACACATATATATTGTATACACACACACATATATATATATATATATATATATATATATACATATGTTGGTTTTAATTAAAACTTTATTTTATGTACATCTATGTTTATTGAAGCCATTTATTGAAAATGAAATGAAATCAAATCAAATAAAATAAAATAAAAAAATGAAAAATGACATTACAAGAGATTTTGGCTAGAAATTGTGTTTAAATCAAAATAATGTCACAATGTGAATTACACAAAATATAATATCTTATTTTGAGTTGAAATGTCACCCAGACATGTTTTCATCAGGATAAAAGCGATTGCTAAATGAATAAATAAATGTGAACATGAGAACATGCTGATAGCTGCATTGAGACCACATAAACGAACACCTGCGGTATGAAACGAGCCAAAAAACTCCATCCTTATCAGTGCCATTTCATTCCCGCTCAATGATAGTATTTAATATCTCTGTGGGGCGATGCAGCGCTCCAGTGCCACTAATATCTTTTTATTTTGACGAGCAGAGTGAAGAATAACAGCTGTGAACATCTAGATGGCAGAAATGATAAAAGCTTATGGAATGATGTAACTGGAACGTCATTGCGACCCGGGATTACAACAAACCCGCTCACATGCCAAACCTCAGAGACCACTGGTCCGGTCTGATCAGATTCATATTCGCTCTGTGAATTATGACTGTTGTGGACTTAAATCCGTCATAACAGCTTATGTCTGGATACACAGATGTTTATGGCACAGTTACTGCGAAGATGGTTTTAGTGGTGTAAAATCGTTAAATGTCAATCCAGTGCCATTTCAAAGCAAATATTTTATTTTCCTTATTTACACTTGGTATTACCATAATTATGCGGATGAGTGATGGATTAGTCCTAAACCAGTAGGTCTTGGCTCGAGCATCAATCACAGTTTAGAATAAGTAAAAATAGTCGTTTATCCTCCTTATATGCACGACAATTACCTGTCACAGCTGATATTTTAAGTGTAAGTGGTGATGACATGTGTAAAATGTCTTTCCCTCCCTCCCTCTCTTTCTTTCTCTAAGGCGATTGGTCGATACCGAGGATGAGCTCAGCGATATCCAATCAGATTCCGTGCCGTCAGAGGTCCGTGATTGGCTGGCCTCCACCTTCACGCGGCAGATGGGCCTGATGCTACGACGGACCGAAGAGAAGCCGCGATTTCGCAGCATCGTACACGCAGTGCAGGCTGGGATATTCGTGGAGAGGTAGGGTTAAATGCAAAGCAGTATGCTAAAAACTCTTTTTTTCATGTCAAAATGTAGTTTTCTTTTACCCTTACAATTTAAACAGGCTATTATACCTTTAAAATTTCTATGTAAATGGCCTCTTTTCATGTGAAATAAGTATATGTTATACAGTAATGTCAAACTCAAGGATCAGAGAACATATAACAGTGTTATATTAATGTTATTTATATACTATTATAATATTTATTAATATATTGATGTCGATTTTGAATGTATAATTAGCTTTTTATTTTTATATTTTTATTTTTCATTTTTAATGTAGTTCAAGTTTTAGTGATTTTTTTGATTTGTGCTTTTGTTTTTTTCTTTAATTTAGTTTTTAGTTATTAAATTATATATATATATATATATGTATAATTTGTTTATCTATCAAATTAAATATTTATATTTAAATATATATTAAATATTATAATTTCTTAAGTATATTAATATATTAATAATTATATATATAATGAAATATATTATATATTATCTATATACTACCCTAATTTTGCCCCACCTTACTTTTTACTTTCCATTGAGCTATAATTTGTTTATTTTGGCTTTAGTTTTGGTGGTTTTAGTACTTCAACCTAAACGTTTTATTTATTTCAGTTAGGCAACATTTCAAATTTTTTTATTTATCTAATATTCATTCTATTTCAGCTTTATTTCAATTACCAAAACTGATTTTAATAGTTACATATAATATTAAAATATTAATAATTTTATTTTTTGTTAATAATATCAACACTGGAAAATAAATCACATCTAGCTGTTTTTTTTATTGTTTTTTTTTCACACAGTAATGTATGATGATGATGATGAAAGTCCAGCCTGAGACAAGGGTAGAATGATACAAAACATACATAAAAGGCACTTTAAAATATAAATGAAGGCATAATACAGTGTTTCTTAGGCAGTTTTAATATAACAACAAAGAAAAGTTATAGGGACATAAAAGTGCCCAAAATATTATTTACTCTTAACGAAATAGTTGACTCAACATCTGTGTGCTGTATCTGAGTTTGTTTCTGTCTTTCTTCTTCTCAGAGTGTGGATAAGTGGTCTTTTGATGTATTTGCTCTGAACGAGTCGAGCGGTGACCACGCTCTCAAATTCATCTTTTACGAGCTCCTCACCCGATACGACCTCATCAGCCGCTTCAAGGTGAAACAGCTCTGGTCGAAGTGAGAGTTGAGGGCCGTAATGGTCTTTTTCAGAATCAATCTGCTTCCTCTTCAGTTTTTTCCCCTTGCCAGGCAGCATTAAAGTCTTCTGTGAAATGATTATAAATCTATGTGTTGAGCTCAGAGTGAGTCAGCGTATGCATATGCATCATCCTCCTGACAAGTCTGAATAACCCTTATATCTCTCTCTCTCTCTCTCGCTCTCACCCGTTAGCATCATTTCATTAAATTCTAATGCATTTCAGGCAACACTGCACAAATAAATTGCTTTGACAAAGCATTTCCTTAAAGAAAGTGCAGGTTGTCCTCTACATTTGATGTTCTGGGGTTTTGTAGGTGAAGATTAGAGCCTGTGGTCTGTGCTGGTGCTTTCACTTGATGTCTTTATCTGGTTCTAACAGAATGTACCGGAGAACCTCTAACATGGTGGGACTGAGTTACCCTCCATCTGTCATAGCAGTGCTTAAGGTAAAACACACACACACACTCCTGCATTCTTAGAAACAGAGTGTTTTATCTCTCAGCTTCTTTCTCTTGGTTTTGCTCTCAAAATATCACCCAAAAAAATGAAAAACCAAAACAAATGTTTCTTCAACTCTGGCTACTTTTGGCCATGTGGACTTCAGAAAAGAAACGTTCAAAACATACTTTTTCTCTTGTAGTTTTTCATGCACTTTTTATTTGTTCGCTAACAAGAGTAGATATACATGCATCACAGAAGATGTCTGTCATTTTTGTCATTTTCCCCTGAAAGTCAAGAACATTTCCACCATATCTCAGATGATGTACTGTGTATAATAGCATTCTGTGGTGGAATTAAATTGAAAATGAAATATGGTTGACTCCTTTCTCTTGCTAAGGGTAATTTCATAGCTAGCAACTGATGTAACCTAAATATACACAATAAAAAAATAAAAAAATTCTCACACTTCTTTTATTTAATTTGACAGCATTACAGCTGAATGGCAAATGATACACAAAAATCCATTCATTCATTCATTCATTTTTTTAATTTTGTCATATAATAATTATATTATTAATTATTTTTAAATTGTATATTTTTGTAATGTAATACATCATTAATATTTATATTAATACCATATTTTTTATTAATTTATTATTATTAAAATTAAATAAAATGATTAATTATTAATGATTGATTATTTTAATAGTATTTAAATAATTAAATTATCAAAACTAAAACTAATGAAATAAAATATATTGATAAAAATATGAATACAATTATTTAATTTATTCCTTTTATATTTATTTATTTTGTAATTATTGTATATTATGTATTTGATTTCATTTTGTATTTTATATAAATGTATATAATTTTATTATAATAATATGATAAAAATCTGATGAACTTTTGATCAACTTTATTATTTATATATATATAGTGTTATTTTCACACAGTAATGTATGATGATGATGATGAAAGTCCAGCCTGAGACAAGGGTAGAATGATACAAAACATACATAAAAGGCACTTTAAAATATAAATGAAGGCATAATACAGTGTTTCTTAGGCAGTTTTAATATAACAACAAAGAAAAGTTATAGGGACATAAAAGTGCCCAAAATATTATTTACTCTTAACGAAATAGTTGACTCAACATCTGTGTGCTGTATCTGAGTTTGTTTCTGTCTTTCTTCTTCTCAGAGTGTGGATAAGTGGTCTTTTGATGTATTTGCTCTGAACGAGTCGAGCGGTGACCACGCTCTCAAATTCATCTTTTACGAGCTCCTCACCCGATACGACCTCATCAGCCGCTTCAAGGTGAAACAGCTCTGGTCGAAGTGAGAGTTGAGGGCCGTAATGGTCTTTTTCAGAGTTGTTAACTCCGTATCTCTGACAGATCCCCATCTCAGCGCTGGTCTCATTTGTGGAGGCTCTGGAAGTGGGATACAGCAAACATAAAAACCCCTACCACAACCTGATACACGCAGCCGACGTCACACAGACCGTGCACTACCTGCTCCTCAAGACGGGGATGGTGGTAAGATGAAGCACACAAACAGAGAGATCACGTCAGAGGGCCACGACTGCAGTGAGATCTTTTATGCACATTCTAATGTTTTTCTTCATGAGGAAGACATTCCCACTATGCACTGCAAAAGCTCAGTGAAATAATCCATCCAAGATGACAGGTGAAATTAGAGAGGTGTTTATAATGATTAATTGATTGTATTAAATAGAAAATTAAATAAATGATATATATATACACACATACATAAAATAATGCAGTTAAATATATAAAATATAATAATACAATTTAAGAAAGTGTAATTTCTTAAATACCAAATAATGTAAATGAAAAATCTTAAATGGAATTAAAAAAGGACATTTACTTAATGTTTGTATGTGCAGTCTTTTATTATTAGGGAGTTATGAGATTAATTTAGCAATATTTGTATTAGACGTTAGCATGTTGCTACATTAATCTAAAGAAATTTATTTTATATATATGTATATCTCTCTCTCTCTCTCTCTCTATATATATGTATATATATAATTTCATTCATTCATTCATTTAAATGAATAATCAATTGTAGACTGCTGTTTCATTCATGCTACACATTTGCCAAAAATAGTTTGTACATATTATCATATATTATAATATTTTATATATTTATATATCAAATTAAATATACACATTCAATTATTATAGTAATAGTAATAAATTCAAAATGTACTTATTCATTATTTATAATATATTATATGTACTGTTTTATTTAAAGGGTTAGATCACCCAAAAATGAAAATTAGCTTGTGTTTTACTTACCCCCGAGGCATCCTAGGTGTATATGACTTTCTTCTTTCAGACGAATCCAGTCGGAGTTATATAAAAAATTGTCCTGGCTATTCCAAGCTCTATCATTACTGCGTCTTCCGCCGGAACTGCTTCAGTGTATGACAGTCAGCGGAATGAGAGAAAAGTGTTTATTACATTTAAAATATGGATATTTT